CTCCCCGCTCCTCATCCTGAGCCCCGAGTAACGAGACTCCAAAGTCTAGCCATCACTGAGCTCGGAGACACTCAGCATTTCATTATCAGGCGTCAAGGAGGGCCAGACGGTGGCAATAAAATGGACATGCTCTGTGTGGCTGCCCACTGGAGGGTTCCCGGCTCACGTCTGCAGACCTCCCTGCACACCGTGCACAGGCATGCCCGTGACCTGGGACTGGCTGCTGGGTCAGTGACGGGCCACCGGGGGAGGTGCTCTTGCTTGCTTATGGAATAAAAAAAACTGGGAAGAGATTTTAAAAAAAGGGAGACCATGGGATGAGAATCATAGCAGAACTGAGGGTGCCTAAGAAGTACAGTGCGAGGCATACGAGTCTGGAGACAGGAGGAATGCGGGCTCCTCCTCTGACAAAAGCACACTGGCTGAAACCATTCCATCGGAGAGGAAGTGGGGAAGCCTAAAAGCACCGACCGTCACTGCGCAAGCTGGAGAAACAGCTCTCTCTGACCTTTTCTGGAGCAAATGCTGTCAGAATCCCAATGCCTGAGGCTACCCTCAAGTGTCCCCTAATTCCTTATTAGCATTTTCGGTGTTCTAGAAATGCATCGAGGCGGGGCTGGCAGGTTGAGTGGTGGTTAAGGGACTGGGCTCCCACATGGCCAACTGTGGTTCGGGTCCCGGACCTGGTAGCTTGCTTTCTTACTCTCTCTCTCTCATGTCATCCCTCTCTGGTCAAATTAAAATAAATAAAGTTAAATAACTCTTTTAAAAAAGAAAGATATGAAGGACTATTCACAGTCCCTCTCTTCCCAAAAACCAACACCAATTCTCTAAGACCACTTCAACGTTTTCTTTACAATCGGTAGGTTAGAATAATAGCAAAAGCTTAAGATCAGGCTTAGCTCTTTCCGTGTGCTGTCCCAAGGGCCAGCAACCCGCCCTACACCAGACAGCAGCAATAGACCATGCACGAGGACTCCATGCTGGACAGAGACCGAAGGAGACCTGCAGACTCGTGGTGTAAAGCATTCATGACTTTACGAAGGGCACCCCAAGCCATACACACATGCGAAGGTACAGCTGTCCCAGCAACTGGCCCAGCAGTCTGGGTCTCCCTGGGAGGAGCCCCAGCAAGCATGTGTTGACACCAGGCGGGCCTCCTACTCACCATGGGCACGCCGTTCTGCTTCTTGTGCCAGACCCACTCCGGGTGGGGGTAGCCCACAGACTTGCAGTACATCATGGCGTCCTGCCCTTCATTCTTGTTCTCACTCCGCTTATGGCCAGTGATGTCAGGAGCAGCTGTGAAAAGGTGTTGTCCACAGTTACCACGGAGGCCACTCAGAAAGAGACCAGGTGTCCACCTACTGGCCCAGAGTCCCGCTCTTCATAGTCAGACTCTGGACCCACCCTGCACTCAGCTCTGATAAAACGCGTTTCAGGTGTGAGCAGAGAAGCGGGGCCCACCCGGCCCCCACCCCACCCGCCGGAGCAGCCAGGCAGGTGTCAGGGTCACTGGACGTGCAGTTCTGCGAGTGTAAGCGGCTCTCCAGCCCACGGGAAGGGATGCAGGCCCAACTGCTCTAAATGAAGCCCTTCTTCAAAGAAAAATGCAAACAGAAGCTACCACCTCTGCCAGCCCAGGCTTTCTCCTAAAGCGCCTAGGCGAACAATTACGGATCATGTCAGGTATCACGCCCCTTTAAAGTCGCTTGATCAGACGACTGAAATCAAGCCCGATTGGAAGGCACGTAAGAACAGCGAATGGCCGGAGAAGCTACGGCATGAGTATCGAGGACCACGGCTCCCTCAGGAAAGAGGGAACCCAGGAAATCAGACTTCACCGGGGAAGGGATGACAAGGAAACCTGACCGGTGTCCCGAGAGCTTAGTAACAGTTTAAGGCTGACTTGTACATCTGCTTTGCACCAATACCAACTACCCCAATCCGAGAGAAATTTCTAGACAGGTTACGGGCTGTTTGTCTTCACTACTTTTAGCGATCACTTAGGAAGAAATAAACTGCACCTGTAGTCTAAAAATTAGTTGGTTTCAAGGACTCAAGAAACCTAGGATGGGGCGTATTATTGGAAATTTGCCTTCTTTTATCTTAACTGTATTTTCCATCAACGCCTTGCCAGTTAGAATAATCTGAAAGCAATAAAACTCCGCATGGGCCAGGTGGCCCTCTCCAGGCCACGACGGGAGAGGGAGTCAATAGGTCTGCTCCAAACTCCAGTTCTGCAGGTTAATTACTCTGCTCTGGGTCTGCGTCCACTTTCAGAGGTACTTCTTGCCCCTGCCTATGTCCCTGTGTTCTTGGGCAGATAAACAAGATGTTGAGACCTTCATTTTGCAAACGGCTGTGTGAATGTACGCCTCGCTGATCCCACGTGCCATGTGGCAAACCGCGGCTAGCAACTGCCCGGAGCCCTACCACCTGCGCCCTGAGTGTCCCAGACAAACTGGTCTTGCCCACGACCTCCAGAGGCACCTGGCACAGGAATGGGCTTGGCAAGGCCCCCACAGCCTTACACCAGCCCTGCCAAACTGACGTGCACTCGCTACTCCTCAGTGTCAAGTCCTTTCCAGAGGATATTATCAAGGAAATGTCTTTGTTTTCTGGGCAAATTTCTTAGTAAAAGAGAAGACAGGCAGCCCCCTAGCCTAGTGCTCAAGGGGCTGGATTCCAGGTGGCTGACCGTGAGGTTTCAATCCTGGCCCAAGTGGCTTAAAACCATGGCAGGCATGTATGCACACCCCAAATCCCAACAGGACGTAGGGGTGGAGGACAGATGGTGGGATGACCACGTCCCACGGTGAGGGGGCGCATTCTCCCTCGTCGTCTCTCCAGTGAGCACATGTGGCCCCTGGCAGACACTTTAAAGGAGAGAGAAGGGAGGTGAGGCTGGTTCTGGCTAGTTCCTACCAAGCCAAACTCTCCCCACAGCCACTCAGTCGCCTCTCAGGCCACTGCTCAGTCCAGTCACCTTTCAGGACAACGCACAATAATCATACCATCATGGGCCAGGCGGGACACAAATAGGGGGTGGGTGCACGCCTCTGGTTGTGCTCTTTCATCGGACAGACACGCACCATGCACCTGCCAGGTGCCAGGCAAGTCAGAGCGCACGGCAGAGGGGGACTTTCTGCTAAGAGGATGTTGGCACAGATGTGCAGGGACAGAGGCGGGGGGCACACAGCTGTGCAGGGACGAGGGCGGGGCACAGCTGTGCAGGGACGAGGGCGGGGCACAGCTGTGCAGGGACGAGGGCGGAGCACAGCTGTGCAGGGACGAGGGTGGGGCACAGCTCTTGGGAAGAACGAGGCAGAGGTCCGGAGGCAGCAGTGTACAAGTTCAGAGCAGTGTGGAAGACGGTAGACCAGGAGATGTCAGGAGGGGAGACGAGAGACTGAAGGCCCAGACCCTCTCGGGAGGCCACAGTCACAGCTCAGACATTCAGGCTCAGCAAACACGTGCCGTTTGAGGTGACCTGAGTGTCTTCAAGGGCTCCCTGTGGCCGCTCTGTGGACGGCGACGCGCTGCACAGCACAGTGACGGCACAAGTGGGAGTCCACTGAGTAGACCAGGACGGGGGGGTCAGGTGAGGCGGCAGCAGTGAGCGTGGGCAGGTGTGGCTGGATTCCTGGCAGTTTTGTGGGCTGAGTAACATGTCTGCTCCAGGACTGGGAGTGGGATGTGAGAGGTTAAGAACTGAACAACTCAGAATGGAGCTGCCGGCCACCGAGGAGAGAAGACTGCGGGGCAACGGGAGGCCTTACTTGTGCGTGCGCTTTTTTGGGGACAGAACCACCGGCTCTGAAAACAAGCAGTCCGAAGTTAGGTGAAGACACTGACTTGGGACCCAAGTGAGGACACACGTAGGCAGGGGGTGACATCTGGAGCGTGGGGACGGTCCACGCTGACGACTCACGTTCAC